GAGCCACCAGGCCTGCACTGAGAAGCACATGGGCAGGTGTGTGTGTATGCAGGTGCAGGTGTCTGGACATTCTGCACAAAAGCAGATGAATTTGCACACTGCTGTGGAGGTCCTGATGAAACCATCTGATTAACAGAAGTGTGACTGCTGTTCACTTTATCTAACATGTCCTTAAGTTGCACTTTAGTGAGCTGTGCTTGTAGGGAGGCAATTTCACGTGCCTCCTGTTCTCTGTCACCTTTGTCATTGTCAACATACTGAACGATGTGGGCGGACCAAAAAAATAACCATACTGGTTTATTCAGAGGATCACAGGTAAAATTAACATTACACGTCCAGATCTCTCCCACCACCAACCTGCGCGCAGGCAGCTTGGAAAGATGAAAGATATGGAGATCTCCATAGAAAGACCCTGAACCAAGAAAACCTATACAATATTAATCATTTTGGGCTAGCCCCATACTACGCAGGCACGTCAAACCGAGACGTCACCTGATATGCCAGCTTGCAGCTGACCATAACAATAGTCAAAACATGAAGAAAGTTCAAGGTGTGTGGCTGTTGATTTGTGGTGTGTATCTAAGAACAATTTGACATGACATTTCACATTAAGACAAATATTAAGATTAGCATTACAGTTAATACTAAAAACCATCCTTGCCAGCAGCCTTTGTCTGATTTAATTAGCCTTGGCCTATATGCAGTCTGCAAGCACATGAAAATGAACTGAGCATTTAACAGCCTGAGCTAGACATCCTGTCTCCACTAAACATTTCTAGACAACAAATCTCTGAATATCTATCTAACTAAGCAATAACCTAACAATTTGCTCCTGTGCCCAATGCAGCTTTCTGTATTACAGCGCTGTGCGTGGGACGTTACCCACTCTAATACAGGAGCATTGATAATCAGCATGAATTAAGTATGCCTTTCTTTTTAGATTTGTTTTACATACATTTACTAAAAATTGTACTATGAAATACAACCTTGTGATAAACTACATATTTTGCATGTTATTTAAATTAACTTATTCTTATTATGGCACTTACTTGGTTCTGTCTTGAGCACACAGGATCATGGAAGTCTGTCTTCGTGACTAATATGATTGTACCCTAAAATAGTAAATTAACCATGTAATATTCTAGTACATTTTGCAACAGTCACACAATTGCAAATCAAAGGTTGGTTTGCTCTTTGACCTATGAAAAAACTGGTGTTTGTTTATGCGATGTATTTACTCTGTTTAATGTTTGTCTTTGCAGTACCCAGTGCTCCTCCTCAGAACATCACCCTAGAGGTTGTCCTGTCCCGGGTGAGTTTAAATTTTTATAGTTTTTCTTTTTACACCATCTGTTTACATCTCTACACTGCAGCAACAACTATTAACATTGCCCCATTTATACCGTAGTGATGACAGTTTTTAAAAAGAACATTTTTAAGGACATTTCACCTTTATATCATATTTTCAGCCTTTAAAAATGTCACACTGTGGTCACACTGGCACAATCTGAGCTTTGTATTCAGAGTGCACCCTTTATAAGGCATTTAACATTTATGACTGATTTTCCAGCTTCCTCCACCCTAAAAGTGACTGATGACTGTTTATTCTGACACACATTTAAAGTGTGACACTGCCATCAGTCAACTGTTGCTCTTTAGTGATTTGACCTCATTTTAGTGATTGATGTGATCCGCAAATGCACCTATACACACCCATTTTTTATGGTCATTAACTTCAGTCCACCCCCTCCAAAAAATAAATAAATAAAAAAGGAAACATTTTTTGTGGATCTGGGCAGTACATGGGACTCAGTCCAAGATTTTGTTCCTTTGAATATTTATAAGTTACACACTTAAAAACTTGATAGGAAAGGTAAAGAGCAGACGTGGCTCCCAAAACCCAGTGCTGGCTAGCGGTGCCCAACTAGTTGGGGGGGAAAGTTGGGGTTCCCTCCAGTGTGAGCCTAGAAGCCACTCACCTCACAGCAGCTACTCTCTTCCTCTAACTGTTTACAAGCAGCAGATAGTTCAATAACCGGTCCAGAGTCCAAGCTGAATGAAAGCCAAACTGAGATACACAAACCCAAAAATGAACTTTAAATAATTAATATGGAGTAAAGGTTTTCAAAAAAAGAAGCACACCTCCCCACAGGTGGAGTGGGAGAATTGAAGGGGGAGTGTGGAGGCAAGTTAGTAAGCAAAGATACCGCATGAGGTGAAAATATATTAATTATGAAAAATATTAATAGTATTATCAACACTCCCCATACAGAGGCTAAAGCAAGTAACTCACGGTTAATGTCTGTCAGTCTCCAACCTGAATTGGTGTTTTCATCTGTGCCATAGACCTCCACTGTTGTTCATCAGTAAAACACAGCACTAGGCTGAGTGACATATTTTTCCATTACAAAACAAAAAAGCCACATATTTGTTAAAAATGTTATCCCAAAAACTCGACCATAGTTTTTTACAGTGTCGTGGCTAGAGTGTGATGCCGACTAAATTAATTCAGACAAACCATCCCAATTTAAAGGATCATTTAATATTACAATTATTCTGAATAGAGTAGTATTTAGACAGATAATCTTGTAGTTAGGGAAAACAGAGACTCTCCTCCTGCAATGTGATAGATAAAGCATTAAAAAAGAAGATTGTCAAAAGCGTCAGTCCAGTCAGTTGTTGTTGGTCAAGGGTCAGTCTTTCTCAACCCACAGTCAGTTGTCAGTCTTGATTCAGCGTCCCCCCAGCCGGCTGGGTCCCCAAAAAGTACACGGTTTACTGTCCCAGTAGCATTCTCTCTCCTTCTTCTTCTCTAACCCAGCTTTTTTATCCGCAGCTTTCCTTAGGCTGTTAACGTCAATTTCTGAACTTAGCCTCCTGTCTCCAGTTGCGGGAGACAACACCCTGAGATGTACTTCAAAAAACAGGAAACATCTTGACCAACTTACATAAGCTCATTGTTCAGCTCACATAAACTTAATGAACCCATAACCACTCAGCTCTCCATTACACAACTAGTGCAAATAATATCTATATGAAGTACATACTGTTACCTTGTTTATTTTTAGCCACTACAATCCCTCCTCCCATAATTTCTAAACTATGGGACTTCCAGAGCTCAAAATATGGAAAATCAAAATATGACCATGTTGACCTGAGACTTTAACGCCTCTAAACTCTAACCATTGTAGTTAAACATTAACCTCTTCCTGCATCTAAAGTTAAATCTAAAATAATTTTTTACTACAGAACTAGCCACTCTTCAATAAACTTTATTTCTCACATACTCTGATACCTAACTTAAACAACTCAGTCAGTCAAGTCTCACACCTTTGCAAAGTTAAGGTGAACAAATCAACTGTATAAAATGACACATAACTTCCCATTCATAACAGTCAGACAAATGAACAAACATGAACATAAAAGTAACAACAATAAACAAAAAATAAACAACCAGAATGAGTTGACTCTGTTCCCCTTGTAAGATAACAACGCAGTCAGTGTTCACAGAGATTCAGGCAAAAACCCCAATATATATTATATTGATTATTGTTTGATCTTTTTGTTTTACTCTTTGTTTTGTTCTGTTTTGGGGAATATGTAAAAATATAATGTCCAAGTCCATTGTCCTTTGATCAGTTCAGTTCCTTGCAGTTTCCATCTGTCACCACTTGCTTTCTTCCATCCTCACCGGCTGCAATGTTTCTGTAATGTAACTAAACTACTTGTATAAAAGCTCTAGACAAAAATATTCTGCAGAGAGATGAGCTGAGAATATGAAAATACTCCGTGATAATTAAGTAGTGAATATATAAATGATAAGATACTAATAACTGCTATGCATGAATTGTGTACAGTATGAATATATAAAAATATAATGTCCAAGTCCATTGTCCTTTGATCAGTTCAGTTCATTGCAGTTTCATTTCACTCTGTCACCTCCTCGACACCGTCTGCTTTCTTCCATCCTCAATGGCTGCAATTGCCCTCTCTCTCTCTCTCGACTGCTCTAAGCATGACTGACCTCAGCACCTCTGACTTGCACTCCCTCCTCATGAGGGTCAAATAGATGAGAACACAACTGGGTCATAACCAGTATTGTCATCAGGGGGAGCATCAGCTTCACTTGAACTCCCTCCTCATCCAAGGAATCCCTTGGATCACATCTTCTCCTTATCAAACCAAGATCAGCTCCAAGCTGTCTCTGTCCTCAGGAGCTTTCATACCATGTACAGGCCTCCTTCGCGAAGGGGTCTCTCCTCCTGGGCACCGTCACGCACACGACATCTTCTGCTCTCACTTTTGACTCTCCATCCTTCTGGGCCTCTTTGTCCTGTAAAGAGAAAACACAAACACCACAAGCCACACAAGAGGAAATACTCCTGCACATAACATTCACCAGACTAAGATAAAATCTAATTTCTTTTATCAGGATTTCAAAAATGGTATTAACATTACAAAATAGCACTCTATAAACTACACTGAAACCACACCTGTCTCTTTAGTCACCAGCATGGTCCTGTCAAGACACACATACACCAAAAATAGCAGCATCAAGCAGCTGAATCAAATAACGACTCTATCAGGAAGTGTACTATCCATTGTCATTATGCAGGCAAATCTGTGATTTCTGTGAGAGGAGATTTTAACATACATGCAACCCAGGGAGATTCAACACACACAGCAGAAAAACACAGAAAAACTAAAAGAACTACAATTCATCCATTTTCAATAAGAAGAAAAGTGTGTTAGAAGCAGAAGAATGTACTAGCATCTACCTCAGGATATTACTAGATCTGAATAAAATAATTTCTAATTTAATTTAGCTCTGACAACTGACCCAAAAATGCAAATGACAGTAAAGTTTACCTTATATCCAGGTTACCTCCTGAAAAGAGTCCACCCGTATTGAATTTAGTCACAAGATTTAAAATATGAAATGATCAGAAATAACCACTACATGTCCACATTTCACATTACATTCAAAATACAGAGGTACAGGACTATATGTTCACTTGATTCGCTTTCCCATTGCCCTGTACACACACTAAAGTATTTTTCATAATATTGTCCCCATATCACATTGTGAAGATGAAAATCTAGACAACAATATTACATCCTTGCCAGGATCTCTTGAAGAACTACAGGGTCCCAACACTGAAACAATCACTTAATTCATCAATTGTGCAATCAACAAGAAATTAATCTACAACCTTTTTGATAATCAATCAGCTGTTCTCAAAAGCTGATGCTTCTCTGCTTTCTATTTCTCAACTAATTGCTGGGTTTCTTTATTTCATCTATTGGTACATTAAGTTCATTGTTGCTCAATTAAAGAGTTTGATATCAGGACTTTAAGAG